TTAGAAGTAAAATCAGCACACCTTTTGGTTCAAGAATAAAACTAGACGCCGCGTCTAATTTAATTCAAGAAAACATTTTAAACTAAGCACCATGCCTAATTTAAAAGGTGTATGAAAATACTTCAAAACCTATGCATATACTATAGCAAACAAAGGTAGCATGAAAGTATTATAGAGATTTACTCAAGTGGAGATGAAAGGGCATGATTGTTATTTAGCAAATTGAGTATGGCTTAAAGGTAGAGACAACCAAAATTAGTAACATGGCATATGATTTTTTATAGAAATTCATCCCCCACACTTGAATTTTGCAAGGCAAAATCAAGTTTGGATGAATGTGATTCAATGTTGCATGATGATTGGTTGGACATACCTTGAGTCATCATCGTTCATCCTTTTTGCTTCAAACCTAGAATGGTTAGTGACAATAATACCTAGAGGAATATTTTCACAATTATGTTCCCATGCTCATTTCACAAGGGTATCACAGTAGAAGGTGAAAACTTATCTTTCAAAAGTGCTTGTTTTAGGACGAAGCTCATCCTTGGGAAACATTTGAATTGTGTTTCTAATTGGTGAAGTGGTTTTCCCTCCAACACCAACCTTTGGGTGCCTATCTCAAGATTTATGCCAACGAGATTTACAATATTTATGATAAACATATGCATCTACAACCACCTTTTCAAAGTCTTTATGAACAGAAAGTATGAAGGGGTTGAAGATCTTGTGTGTGGCAATGTTGGAAAAACCGATTGATTTAGAAGATTTCTCATGTGAGCATGGATTTGATGAGGTGTTCATGAAATAACTTCCATGCTCGTCGATGTCATCTTTCTTTTCAAGCTCCAGGGGTGTTTCTTCATGAATGTCTATAGGCGAAAACATCATCTCCATCATTCTATGCCTATGACATTCATTGGACGTTTTATTGTCCAAGATTTCTCATGGATTAGTGGCTCTTGGGTTGATCTCGTCTAAGGCCTCCTCCAAACTTGGATGAGTCTTGTTTATTAAAGAGATTGATTTAAGCTTATCGTTTGGATCTAAGCCAAGTATGGATTCTACCCATAAGGCTTCATCCTTATCCATCCACTCTTTAGCAATGACATATAAGTTCTTAATACATTCTAGCCATTGTCGTTGCTCTTCTTGGTCATCCTTGTGGTCTTCATGACTCCTATACTTTGGGTGTCTTGGTGGATTTCTAGGATCATTATGAGTTTTAGGAGAAAGAGCATAAGAGGAATCATCGAGGCCAAGGATGTGTTTGAATGAGACATCTAATATGGGCATATAAGGGGAGAAGATAGAAATTACTTCTAAATGACTTGGCTCTCCTTCTATGGGTTCACTAGACATGCCATCCTTGATTTTTTTCCCAATGTCCTACATGGGAATAAGGACGCTTTCTAAGAGATTCCTTCTTGAGAGGAATTGAATTATATTCGCTTGAAGGTCTCTTATGGAACTAGAAGTTTAAGCTTTTCCTAAAATCATCAAAAAGATCATCCTCACAAGAAATTTCAAAAGGTTGAATTCCTTCTTCCTTTGGAGGATTTGGATTTTGGGGTATAGATGGTTCGGGATTGATAGCTAAATCTTAGGATTGAAGTGGTTGTGATTTGGCTATCAAAACTTCTTCTTGTTTGGGAGATGATTCCTTCTCTTCCTCAAGGAGTTTATTATGATTGCTAGTGTAGAGTTTTTCCACTAATCTTATTAAGCATAGACCTTGCTTCACTAGCAGACAGATGAAGAAAAGATCCTCTAGAGGCTGCATCAAGGGATTCCATGGAATTCTTGCTAAGACCCATATAAAAATGTTGAAGGAGCATTGGGTCTAGAATAGCAAGGTCCGGGCCATTGATGATGAGGTCATTAAAACGATCCCACGATGTGCCAAGAGATTCTTCTTCTAGTTGTCTAAAATTTAGAATTTCTTTTCAAAGGCTAACCACTTTAGGATGGGAAAGAAACATAAACAAAATTTAGAGCATAGCGTTTCCTAATCTCCTTGCATACTTCCTATGGTTTGACTGTACCATTGTTTAGCTCTTCTCGTCAAAGAAAATGGAAACAACTTCCTTCCTAAGGTTTCGTTAGATATGCCAGCGATACGCAAGCATGCACAGATCTGTTTAAACTCTTGTAGGTGTGAGTATGGATTTTCATTGCCTTTTCCCGAGAAGGATTGATCCTGAATCAGTTTTATAAAACACGGGCACAACTCATAACCAGGTGTAAGGATAGGCTCTATAGATTTTGGTGGCTCTAGGCACGCGCTCGTAGGTGCAGCGTATAGGTAGATATGAGTAGAATCCATGATAAAAAGGAAAATAATAAAAGAAAGAAGATAAAAGATAAGAGATTAAGCTAGGCTCATAGTTAATTCAGCAACAGTGTCCTCGGCAATGGCGCTAGAAAACTTATTGGTATATTTAACGCACACAGATAAATCCGCAAGCGTACGGATACTGTTGTAGCTTTGATCTAGAAGTATTCCAAGTATCGTATCCATAGAAAAACGTGTGAGACTAACTACAATCTAACTTAACTAGGGGTAGTAACAAGGTTAAGATAAATAGGAGCGTAGAGAGGAAAACTAAGGTTCTCTAGTTCTAACTTGGAGTAAGCTATGTCTTCTATTATTCAACTAGGGACATTACTTAAGGAAAGACACCAGCAGAGGATGCTTCCCGTAGTAACCACGTCCTACTTACCCTACAAATGGGAGGTGGACTACAGAGGATTCAACGAGGCTATTAGAGTCACCCTCGCGAGCTACCACCGATATGAAATGCAGGATGCATCCATAGGTAACTAGAGTGTAAGCACCACACTTACACTACAATTACTACTTTACTCTTCCCGGATAAAGAATAAACCACTCAAACAAGTTGTGAACCTGATGAATAATATAAACAAGAAGCTTACTTGAATCAAAAGTTGATTACTAGAGAAATCTTAGAGGTAAGCTCAGATAGAACTTGGATCCACCAATGTACAAGCCGTAGAGAGGGCACCGATAGGCCGACACCTCCTCCAAACTCTTCCCTCACTCTCCATCTCACTATTGTTTATAAGACTAGAGCCTACGGAGGACTAATCTTCTCTTGATAGCTGGCTTTAATCCTGACGAGGAGAATATGAATTAGGGTTTCAGGATGGCTCTAGGGAGGGGGTACAGGGCGCCTTATATAGGGGAGATGGAGTAGGGGGCAAGAAACTACCACGTCATCGATCCACGTCAACTCCCTCGACCACCATTGGATAAACTAACCTCAAACCACCTTAAAATCAACGGTGTAGATCGTAGGAACACATACGAGACGGCCGAGGGCGAGTGGGCTCTGTGGCAGGCCGGGCGACCTCCCTAATGGGCTGGCTGGCCCACTATTGTGGCCTTTTGGCCTAAGCTTCGACGTGGTGTCTTCTAGAACCTTCTAGAGTTGTCTTTCGTAGTTTTCGTGGGTTGAATCACTTGTTGTCACCGATTTGCTTGTTTGGAGTGTATGACAGTGGTCCCAGGAGGTGTTTCTAGATAAATCCTCCTACAGTCACATCATCACCAAAGCTCGTGGAATTCATTAGTTTAAACCCCTATACCTATTTTTGGTGATGGAATTAAACATATATGTAGGTTATGTTGGCGGTTTATAATTGGTGTTAGCGATCGTCAATAATCATCATCGAACTCATCCTCTTCCTTGAAGAATTGGTTTAAAATATTCTCCTCATCGTCATCAAACAAAACTATCTAGAAACATCCCAAGATATATGAAATCCACATGATTTCATACAATTGTTCAAGGAGGGAGTCGGGCAGGGCGGCATATCATGCTGGAGTAGGGGCGTCGATGGGAGGTGTCGTGGAGGCAAGCTAGGAGGATGAGGGGCGTTAGTGTGAAGGCAACACCCAGGCAAGCAGCAAGGGGTGTCGGCGTGGAGGCGACGTCGGGCAAGGGGAAGGGGCACTGGCATGGAGGCGGCGCTAGGCAAGGAGGAGGGCGTCGGTGTCGAGGCAAGGAGGAGGGGGCAACGCTGGTCATAGGAGACCAACATAAAGGACCTGACGGCGGTCGTGGAGGCGGCGTCCGAATCCGCCTGTGACGATCCCACCGAATGTCGAGGCGACCAGTGGAGAGGCGAGGGGCATTTGTCTAGCACGCAAAGGGGAGGAGGGGTTGGCGACCAACGAACAAAAAAGTAGGGGGTCATTTGTTGGCCCAATAGAAATGAGTAGGGCGAGAATTTGGGTGGCCAATAAATTTGAGGGGGCAAATAGGTAGTTTATCTTAGAGAGTTTTTTTTTGTTTTTGCTCCACTACTCTAAAAATAGAGTAGAGACATTGTTTTTTAGCCTGTAAGAGATTCTCTTACAGTAGTAAAAGTCACCACTACTGTAAGGGTATTATGTTTTTATATCTCTCTATATATATATATATATATATATATATAATCCTACACCTACTAGAGTTCTATCTTAACATGTAAGTTATCCACCTCATCAATCCACACACATACAATTACAACCCAATATACAATTATTTTATACACATCAGCGATACGCATCCCTACTATCATACACGTAGTTGTCCACATCGACATGCCACATCATCCACCAACATTGTTTTATAATAGTTTATCATTTCATATAAGCAATTATATATAGGTCCCATTCGTTTCGCTGAAAAAATAAGCCGAAACACTGTTTTACTGATTTGTTGTGAGAGAAAAACATTGTTCTAGTTGAAAAAACAAGCTGAAAAGTACGGATTATAAGATAAGCGAACAGGGCCATAGTCTAATTTCATTCTATATCATCCGTAATTTTCGCAGCAACACACAGGTATGCTTCTCATTTCTATATCTTCGTAATCCTGCATTCTAAAGAGGTTCTCAAATTTTTTTGTTCGCACTGTAAAATATAAAACATTGAGGGTTTTAATTGTAGAACGTCTAGGACCCATGGAGGGTTTTCTCAACAGCTTACCTCAATTCTAAGCAATTCTTTTTATTGACGTAACTGTTAGGGTGTCACAGTCCCTCGCCCTGCCTCTGCTCCGGATGACAATACTGAAGATGACCATTCTCGGCCCAGGAAGAGCAAGAGAGCCCGCGCCAAGACTGTTCTTCTCGATTTCCCTCTCAATTCTTGGTTCTGAGTGTGAATCTTCAGCCCCCTCAGTAGGGTGCTGACATAAGAATTTTTGTATATGTATATGATATCAGGAATTATAGAGAACTGAGAGAAGCTGATTTCAAATAGAAACTTTTACAGAACTGAGACCCCGTTCGGCTGGTCATGCCTGAAAGTTACAGACTGAATTTGTGAGAGGGGTCAAAAAAAAACCAAGTCAGGTTTCATATCAGCCGAACAAGGCCAATATTGTCCCGACCCAGTCTAGGGTTCTCAATCACCAAACATTCAACATATATCACTCTTTTCTACTCCAAAGAAATGTCAGAACATTATAAAAAACGGCAGAATAAAAGTTCATACTAAAAAAGACTCATTTCACAAAGAAATGTCAGAAGATTGCTGTACTGCAAACAAAGGAGATTCTTATTTTACACATACAACTTTTTTTTACGGGAAACTCAAGTTACGTGCGGCCATATATTCCTCAGCTCAGCATTACACTAGTCACACACAGGCTCATTGTATGGCATACAATGTTTTTGTTTTCATCGTTTTCCGTGGTCAGAGAACACAGCCTAAAGCCCTAGATTTTCTTTTTGTGAAAAGAATACGAATCAAATGAATTTCGGTCAGTGTTCGTGTTGTACAATAGAGTTAGCGTATTAAATTGCTGCACACCATTGTTACCAACAACAGAACCAGGGACTTGTGCCAGTGGAATTTCCATCCGGAGGAGATGTCATGTGAATTGACAGTATATGTTGTGCCTGTCTTGTCGTCCTTAATTTTAATAGTCGACGAACCTGAAATTTCAAGCAGATGACCAGAGAGTTGAGGAAATAGGGGGGCAACCCACGACTAACATCTATAATTCAGAACAATGCAATGCTTGTACCAACCAACCATGCCCCTCGTCCCTCCACACACACACACACACACACTTTTCTCTCTCCCTTTATTTCAAAAGGAACAAATTGTCTTTCACAAAGAAAAAGGAAAATAGATGTAGATGAAGTTTTATCCCAAACTATGTAATGGCGGTTGACAGTTAACAAGAATATAAGCTATTGTATGCTGAGCTCGTGGCTCCCAATGTCAAGCAAAATATTTTGGAATTAGTCAAGATTTCTGGAAAGAAAACAGCAAGCTACAACTGCAATCTATAATGAAATGAACTTAGGATGGGCAGATTTGAGCGTGCTATCACTTACAGTTGTAGTCAGTCCACCCAATGACTTGATTTTCCAAGTCATAGACAACCAACTTGTTTGAAAGTACAAGGTCTGAAAGAAAACAGAGTGTGAAAAACACGGCATTGGAAACAAAAATGGGTTTGCAAGTGCACTGCAATGCTGACCTCCCATAAGCACAATGTCCTTTCCATCTTTTGATTGTAATGCGCCATCTTGGAATCCCACACAGTATATGTCATTCTGCTCCAATGAACGAAAACATGGACCATAAGAGTCACGAGTCATGACCATGTATTATGCACTCATAAATGGAACTTGTATGCTAATAGCACTGCTATTTCAAACCACTGTTGTGCTTGAATCAAAATATCAGAAATGAACTGATTAACAACCTACTGAAATAACTAATAGCTATGTCTATATCTTATCCTGTAGAGTGTGCCGTATAGAGGCTTTACTGCTTTACTGTACAGATGTTTCAATGTCATGTATCCACAAAGGTTAAAAAAAGAAAGTATCCCCGAAAAAGAAAGACCTTCGAGTTATAAACATATAATAAAGAGAGTGTATACATATACAAAAATGGTAGGCTATTTTCTCTTTATAAGCAAAATAACAGTATAATCCAAAAAGAGGATGAGAACTATCAGAAATTAAAAAAGCAGAAAAGGCATGTACATGTCATCCATTTTGGCAATATGAAATTAAGAATGCGTGCTATTTTTCTTTAACTTCTCTACAGCGTGTATGAACTTTGACATGTAATCTTCAAGTACACATAAAGCTAGATGTGCTGTAAATGTACTTGGGGTTTGTCAGCAGTACCCAAGTTTACTAATTTTGAAGCAAAATTAAGTACTGATAGGTGATGACCGTGGTTACTCATGTAATACCAGTGTTTGGGGAATTGCCACCATACCATTAGTGAAATTGCACTTTTGCCAACACTCCATCGAGTGTGTCTATGACACTCGGGACCAGGCTGCCAACTATCATAGTGATAGATCTACGCCATTTTGCCAATGTAGGTTTAGAGTTTTTTTTGGCAAATTTTCCTTAGTTTAAATTGACACCTTTATCCAAAAGAATATCTCTGTTGATTTCAGCAAAATTCAGACAAAAAGAAAAAACAACCTGGAGTTTGATATGGAATGATTGAGAAATTTTTGGAAAGCCAAAATCCTAACAAAGAAAAAATGTAACGGAAAAAGAGAGCATAAGATAGGTGCTTCATATATTCACATATACTAAATCAAGGTTATCAAGTCATCCGACTAACCGCAATTAGTCTTGGTGCCATGCAATCAGTTATGCACTACGATTAGTCCCAATTAGTCACGATTCGTCGACCTGATCGGTGCCATAGCGACTAGGGTCAATTAGACGAGTTGAAAACATTGTACTAAATTTAGTGATTGTTTTTCATATTGATTACCAATGGCCAACATGATATTACAAATTACAAAAGTATTTTATTTTAAAAATTATCATGTAATTTATGCAAAAGGGGTGAAAGGAAAAAGAAGGCACTGAAGCCATTTTTAAGTGCTATAAGCTGGAACCAAGTTGAACCCATGCAATTGGTGAATTAAATGTTGCTCCGCTAGGAGAGAAATGTCATGTTACCCCATTTGGGAAAAAGTACTCATGTGGATAAACATGCAGTGCAAGATCATCCTCAAAATGGAAAGTGATGGTCGGGAATCCATCATCTACACTGCAAGAGAAATGAACACAACAGTTAGAATCATAATCATAGTAAGAGAATATAATTTGTGGGCTGGTGATTCATCTTTGTGCCAATTCAAATGAAACAGAGCAAGTATGAAGGGACCATGAAAGAAGTATGCGAGGGCATTATCGATATCAGGATTCAGTAATAATATATTTCATCATGTATGAAGTGCAGCACAGAAGGAATTGCAGGTAATTTAGTACGCTTCCAACTGCAGCTGTATTGTGTAAGCCATACCTTCCAGGATATTGGAAACACATAAAATCTTGAACGTTATGGAAGACTATATCTTGATGCTTGTTAAATACCTACAATTGGTTGAGAAATATAATATGAAAAGAAAGGAATATGGTCCTCTGTTATAAGGGACAAACTAGCATAGGATCTTTGTCATACCGCGGCCATTACTTCTTTGAAAACCAATTCTGGAAGGTATGTCAAGGTAGTACCACTGTCGATTATAGTGCCCTTTTTCTCTCCTGCTTCAAAAACATGAGCTGGGAGCTGTAATGTAGTGCCACCAACATCAATTGACTTAAGGTTCACATTGTAGTGCGGCCTGGAAAGTAAAATCATGACAGGCTATGAGTACAGTATAAATGAAGTAAAGCGGCTAGCTGCAATGCATCACATCTCAAGTAGAACTAAAACACTATGTGCCAACAAAATATGCGTTCATATAAAGTTTGTAACAATGCCATTGATATGAGGTTTTTTACCAACTCAAAACTTACAAAAAACAGTGGTATGTTCAAGAGACCATGGACAAAAAGGAACATGAAGTTTACAAAAAACAGTGGCACTAGCACAACAGCATTGGTGAAGCATCTGTTTGTAGCAAGGCACAGATGCCAGTGAGAGAACATCTATCCACTGAGCAGAAGTTTTAATGTGCATATATCTTTCTTTCCTTCGCACATGCAATTTTGTCAAATCTTATTCCACACTTATTAAGTGTCCAGTTCTCATATCCTTTTTTTCTTGTTAGTTGGATACTAAGCAAGTAAGCAATATGCCTAACCAATGGTTATCACTTGTCAGAATTAGCTCTGCAGTCGGCTATCTTGTGAGGGCTCTGATGAAATAGTAACACGTCAGTTGCCCACCATTTTTTTATCGAACTCGCAGTAAGTTGCCGACCATTTGATAGAAATAGAACAAGTACAGAAACAACAGGTCTTTAGGGTTGAGAGTGCGATGGTTTCATTTTTTTTATTTTGTTTGATTTGAGGTTCATGTTCCAATTCTAGTGAACTGGTGACTTAGTGATTAATCAAAGTTAACAGCTATGAACAATTAGCAAAAACATTATATGACCAGTGAAACTGAAATGTGGTTCACCCATGAGTGTAATGCAACCAAAAAGATAATTAGTACGACAAGGTACATACATGTCAGCTACCAACGGTGTTGTTTTCACTTTTGGCTGAACCACGTTTCCAATAGCAAAAATTCCACCACCTTTTATGGTATCCAAGCAATGAGCAAATATCTTCTTCACTTTACCAGCAGCAGCTAGCTGTGATAACATTGACGTATTTGCCTGACCAAAACCAAGAATTCCATCAAGGGCTTGGTTTGAGCTTCCCAAATCCCCACCTTGCTGAGCACCACACCTACAAAGGAAAGAAGAATAATGTATCCCCACTTAACACTTCAGCACTATTAACAAATGCTAATCGTTAATGCTTGTTTCCTACTCAGTTCTTCTATTGCAATATGATAAAGAGCGTGGGATGCATAATAAACCCCACAGCAGGGTTAATGCTTTCTCTGTTACCTATCGTTTCAATGAAGTAATAGCACAAGGACATAGCCTGGATAAAGGGCCAAGAATACAACTTCATTATCTCATACTGGGATAAAAAAAACCTCATCCGAATAAAAGAACATGAACTATCATTGTGGCGATGGTCAAGGATCATGCTAATCTTTTCAGGCAACAAAATAGCCCATCATGAATATTGTCCAACAAAAAAAGATTGCAATGTGATAAACTGACATGACCTGACTCACCCGAACGTGACACTGGCATTGCCCGGCTGTGTCTGCCCATCCCCAGTCACCTGATCAAACTGCAGCGCATCAGTGACGAAGAACCCAGTAGTTGAGCTACCATCACCGTACATGACGCTGTACTCGCAGGGCACATTGGCAGTGCACCCCGGCAGCTTTCCCCCATAGGTGGCCGCGCAAAATCCCTGATCACAGGACACCGTGCTCCCGCTCGAGGACGCCTTGGGATCATAGAACGTCAAGTCTAACTGCAGAGAGATTTCACATCAAAATGGACACGGCTGAACTAATATGATAAAAAGTGGGAAACGGTACCCCGAGTCCGCTCTTGCGGGGGCATTTTTCGCAGGAGATGCAGTTAACCCAGAGGATGTCGCTGCCAGTGTCGACCTGGACGTAGTAGCGCTTGGGCGGCGTCCCGAGCTTGATCTCCGTGAAGTAGAGCCTGCGCGCGGACCGGCCCAATAATCCCCACAACCAAATAAGCACCCCACAGGGAAATCTCCCAAAATAAAGAAGCTAGCAAGGGCCGGCACGTACCCGGTGTCAGTGGGGAGTCCAAGACCGCCGAGCGGGAGGTCGGCAGCTGCAAGGAGGCGGCCATGGCGGTGACCGTCGTGGACACGAAGAGCGCTGATGTTGGCGCCGGGGTCCGCTCCAACTCCGGAGGGAAACTTGCGGCGCACCTGGAAGACGCTGCCAGCAGCGGCGCCTGGGGCGGAGCCGGCCGCCGCCAGCAGCAGCGTGGCTAGGAGGAGGAGGGCGGCAAGCCGAGGCGGAGGCGGAGGCGGGGCCATGGATTATTCGTGGTAGCAGACGGCAATTCGAAAGGCGCCTGCACGCAGGGTAGCAAGTAGCAACATTAATAGTTGCGGGAGCGGTCGGGCTTCGGGCGGCGGGAGGCCGGCTACTTTTCGTGTCCTCCCCCGCTGGCCGCTCCTCCTCCTCGCCGCGGCCTCCGAGCCTCGGAGCGGAGGCGTTTGAGTGAGGACCGAGGACAAGCAAGGCACCGGAAAACGGGGAGGAAAGCTGGTCGGCGGACAGCTAGTGGGGAGTGGGGACAGCCATCATGGTCGGGCGGGTTTCTGTTTCAGGTTGGGCCGTGGAGAACCTGGTGGTGAAAATCTCAGCCCAAGGCCTTGAGGCCTGAGCCTGCCCGTGGCCCGACACGACTAAAAAAGCCTGCCCGTGGCCCGACCCAACCCAACGACCTGGTTGACCCGGTGGCCGGCCCTAGGGATGCTGTGCTCGCCGAGCTTGTGGTGGACTGGTGGGCTGGTGCCTGCCGCTGTCGTCGTCGTGAAGAATCACTCGTCCGTCCCAGTCATCCGTCACCGCCTCTCCCTCAAAACCCTACGCCGCAAGCAAAACTCTGCTCCTTGCCTAAACCCGCGCCGCGAGCCCCCGGACCCGGATGTTGTTCCGCTTCCGCCCGCCCCCCTCGTAGGCCACCGCCTCCCTTAGCGCCGCCGCCCCACCTCGCCGGCGGCCATGGCGACCCCGTCTTACGCGGCGGTGAAGTGCCTCAACACGTCCTCGTCCAGCCGCAAGCGCTTCTCGGTACGCCTCTTCTCCAACTGCTGTTTCGCTGACACCGAATCCAGGTCGCGGAAGAGTTTTATGGATGCTAATGGGCTCTGTGTTTCCTTCCGCAGTTCAAGACCTTCTCGCAGCGGGTGGAGGAGATCGACATCGATGTGTACCGCAGCCTCCACACGCTGAAGGCAGAGCCGTCCAGCGGGTCCTCCTTCTTCCTCGACGCAATTGTGGAGTGGAGGGTATGCGACTTTTTTTTTTTTGCTTCGTTTATTTATTTCAATCTTTGCTATCCTTAAATCCACTTTGGAAGTAACAAGGGAGCTTAATTTGGTGCTTAGAGCATCAGAAAGAGTTTAATTACCTTAATCATTGCTTGCTGTGCTGTCCTGTGTGTTATATTGTGTAATCTAGTCAGGATTACATCCAAGAAAATGGAAACATCATCTTCTAAAATTCCACTCAGCATGAAATGGACCTTACAAACATCTAATTTGCTTATTTTTCTGATTGAAGAATTAACAGAGTTCAAGGTTGTTCACAAACTGCACAAGTACAAACTTTTGTTCACAAACTGCACAAGTACAAACTTTTGCTTTAGTAACTCTACCTAGTAGAAGCATAGAAAACCTAAAAGTTTGAACCGCTCCTGCTGCCAGCCCCCTCCCAAACAATTTAATTTGCTTAATTAACTTTTTTCTACGCCTGCATTCCCCAGCATTCTCGGTTGCCATGCTTAAGCTGCATCATGCCTCAATCACCTTTCTGGCCAATGCCTGCACCATGGTTGGCTAGGTTTTTGCCTGCCCCGTGTCTTGGTCCAACACTATGCATGGCTTGAGTGAGTGCAACACTCTCGACTCGAATTCCACCATTGGATTGCTCCCACCATCGTACTCACTTCGCATAACCTGCTACTGACAAAATCACACCACCATATGTCTTCACTTTATACTTGCACTTGGCGTCTAAGCGTGCTACAGTTCGATCAACTTCTGTGGCTACCATCATGTTTGATGCATGGCACAGAGGTGCCAATATGGAAAAGGGCAATGAACTCAATCATATTGTTAATTTCTAGCCAATAGATTAGTCTCCCTAGCTGTCATCAATGTACTCCCTCCGTCCCAAAAAGAGTGCACATCCCACTTTTCAAGGGGTTAACCAATCTCAAGTTTGACTAAATATATGCAAAAAAAGGTACTAACATTTATGATATCGAATAAGCATTATTAGATTAACCATGCAATATATATTTCATGAGAAACCTATTTGGAGATACGAATGTTGATAATATTCTCTTTAAATCTAGTCAAACTTGAAATTAATCGACTCCTCGGAAAGCGAGATGTGCATTCTTAGAGGGACATAGGGCAGTATGTTCCTTTCCATGGTCCTTTTAATTGCTATATAGAGTTACATAAATATGCCAACCCCCACTCCAGAGTCGATGCTAATAGTAAATGGTGCGATATGTGGCTTGACATTGGGCCAAGGGTGTGATGGTGCTGAAGGTCCAACACATGCACCAGCGCGACTCTCTTGGTCTTGTGATGGAGTTAAGAGCATGATATAGGCTGAGCAGTTTCAGCAGATGCATGAAGTGGCTGCGTGGGGGCATATCTGGAAGGAGTTTTGAGTTAAATTATTGCTAGTTTTCTGGTGCCGAAAGATGCACTAGCAGGTCTCGCTTGGGATAGTGATGGAAGTTAGGGCTTGAAGTAGACCAAGCACAACTGCAGAGGCATGGCTTGTGCCCAGCATGAGCACATCTAGAAGGGTTTTTTTGATTATATCTAGGCCATGTGGGAACTTGGTTCTTTCTATTGCAAATAGATTGGTTATAGTTATAGGCAATTATTTAAAACTTCTTTCTTTTGTTCCTTTTCTTATGTGAATCCAGGAGCTCAATACTGCAGAGGATTTCATCTCATTTTATGACGAGATGATACCATTGGTACAGACACTGCCTCAAATTGTCTTGCACCGTGAAAAGCTCTTTTCCGCACTTCTACAAAGGGTAAACATGAGTGCAAAATTGTCCCTGGAGCCAATACTCATGTAAGTATATCACAGATTCATGCACTTAGTGAAAATGTGATGACTTCAGCTCTTCTTCGCATAGTACTAAATGTGTTATATGCTGTCATTGCCTTTCCTTATTTGTCTAACCTACATATGCGAATGATGCATGATTACTCAAGTTTGGGGTTTGTGTAACAATTTTGAAAAACTATCTGTACAATATAATAAGAATAAAAATTGGAAATGAAGTCAAGTTTGTCATTCTTCATATCTGATCATCTGACAAAACTTGCTGTGCAGGAGATTGTTCTGTTGGTCTGTAAATGGAACCTGCCTATGTCTGTACTTAGTTGTAGATGTTTTGTTATATCTTTGTTGGAATGGCTACTGGATCAGCAGACAACCTTTAAGCAACCTTAATACTAGGCGATCCCATATTTTATTGCTCTCGACAATTGTTTTTTGTGTAAGGAGGCACAGGGAGTTGAAGAGCCTCAGTTTATTGTCTGACCCTTGGTTGCACACATGCCCTATTTTCTGTGTTGTTCTATTGTAACTACTCAGCTCTATTGTGCCTATTGCAATCCTTTGTTTTGAATTAAATGTACTTCTATCGAGTAATGGGCTCCAGTACGTTGTAGCATCAGAATTTCAGTTTCACTAGGTCACTAGTGGAATCCTACTTTATGTTTAATATTCAATGGCTCATGTTTGGTTTGTGATGATTTAACAACTATTGGATGTCTAACTGATTTCTTTTTGACATGCAGGTTGATTGCAGCTCTCTCCAGGGATATTCTAGAAGATTTTTTGCCGTGAGTTTCGGAGCTCCAATTCAATAAGTTACTATAAGGCTACTCAGCATGGTTGTTAGTCTGTAGCATTATAGTGTTGTGTAGGCCCTGGTCCTTATGTCTTGCTTGTTTTGTGTTTTGTTATCTCAAAGATGATTACCTTGATCTATTTTTCCCCAATGACCTAAATTAAATCAACCTAAAAGGATTATAATCTCTATTGTTCTGCTGCAAGAGTTGACTGAGACCTTATTTTCATACAGAATGAGAGGTTTCAGAGGCCCTTATCCTCGTTAGTTATGCTTGACCTTCTTTTCTATTTTTTATTGATTACAGCTTTTTAGGAAGACATGCTAGTGCCCTTTTAGCTCTCCTTAATGATGGAGGTGATCATGACCCCGAAATCCTGGAGCAGGTTGGTCTGCTTATTGTGATTCATAATTCTTGCTTGCAGTTAAGTAGCAGAAGTCATATGTTCTGTTGTATTTCAGGTCTTCACATCCTGGTCGTATATAATGATGTACTTGCAAAAGTATCTAGTGAAAGATACTGTCCAAATTCTTAGGTGAGTTTGCGTCTTCAAAAGTGAGGCCTATGTATGCTATTGGCTCAAACCTTGTTTAATGGCCTTTGCCCCCATGATTAGATAAACCAGTTGCATTTGTTGTTATCCAATATAAAATCAGTTGCCTTTGGTGATAATTTGATATCCAAATTCAGCTATCTAACTGACTGCCAAGTCTTTATCATTGTTGAAGGATCACAGCAGCGTTGAGATATTTCCCAAAGGACTATGTTAGAGAATTTATGGCAGAATCTGTATCATTTTTGCTGAGGAATGCGCCTAATAATCATCTAACTCAAGGTATTTTTCTTTTCTCACTTATGTTCTTTTACTGGATATATATATATCATGCTTCTGAAAGGTATGGGTCTTTTTTGTTTTCCTCAACTTTTGGTGTTGGGTTCAATAATGCTATGGAGCCACTAGCTTTTCATATTTAGTCCAAAATTAACCTTTGTGGTATCTGGCTGTGGGCTCAACTTAAACATTATCTCCATTGTGAATTGCTCAAAGATATGACATAGTTTTTGTGTAAGTATTCATTCTAGCTAAGCCTGAAACTTAGGTCTCAGAGGACCAACTGAAAGTTGTGGGAGTAAAATAATAGATAAAGATGGAGACTTAAAGGGAATCTCCATTTATTTTCATTTCAATTCTACTAAATTGGTTCCTTTTTGTGTGTTTTTTTTTTCTGTCTGGCCTGTTATTTATTCTCAATTGGAAGATGAGTTTGATGAGACACACTGCTTACACTGTGGTTCAGTTTCAAATCATTTGTATAATGAGGTTTACTAATTTTCTGACTTCAAATATTGAAAAAAGGCAGATTTCCCACTACATTCAAGTGCTTTTGATGATTTGCTCTCAGTTATCTCACTTAGGCCCCAGGACACACATCCATTCAAGTACTAATGAATGGAGTTTTAACTGCGCAGATTGGTGTTTTCCTTTTTTCCACTGGCTTCCTATCTTTTGCAACTATGCAATGTTTTCTGTTTGCTGAGGCAGAAACCTTTTAACATAGGGAGAATGGGTTTTCCATATAAAGCTGTGTTATGTAGCTTCACCACTACTCCCTTCGTTCCAAATTGTAAGTTGTTTTGGCTTTTCTAGGTACATAGCTTTTGCTACGCACCTAGATATACATTATGTCTAGTTGCATACTAGAAGCTATGTATCTAGAAAAGCCAGAACAACTTACAATTTGGAACGGAGGGAGTACTGGTACTAAAGAGTTTAGACTGAGCTACCAACAATGGTAGTGGGCAGGCTGTCATGCTTGCTTAAATGAGGTAGCTAATTTATTTTAACTTGCATTTTTCTTGATTGGTCCTTAGGTCTACTGAAAGTTCTACGTGAGGCTGCTAAACAACCATCACCTACACGGATAGACGGGGTGGTCTCTTTGTTGTGGCATGTCATGAAAGGAACTTCCACAAAGCTACACTCAAATGCTGGGCAGGTCTTGAAGTTCTTGTTGAGCAAGTCAGTTGTTTCCACTCTCCGTGATAAACTCCCTGATGGTCAGATAACTTTCTGCGAATGACACTTACTATTTGTGTGTGTGTGTGTGTGTGCATTGCCCTTATGTTCCATATGTTCTACCTATTGCTTGTTTTCATTGGACCACCTCATTATCAATTATGGTTTAGCTAGATTGATCAGTGCCTCATTATTATAATTCATATAAGTGAGTTTTTAGCCTCCATGTTTTATCTATTCCATGATGGTCAGATGACTTTCTGCCAAATTCCCAATGACATTTACTATTGTGATTTTCTTAATGTTAGTTGAACTGTCCTTATGTTTCATTTGTTCCATCATTGCTTGTGTTCATTGGCTCACCTCGTCATGTATCACCATTTAGTTGAATTCATCAGTGCCCCGTCATAATTCGTAAGTGAGTTTTTAGGCCTCTCCATGTTTCAGAACCACAATGCAAGATCTAACATCATTTTTTTGTGCATAATCATGTCAGGAAAAAACTGTTTTGAAAGCTGCTCTTTTTTACACTTCTTTCTGTTCATCAATAATAATCACTGCATAGTACAAAATGCAGGGTCTTCTACTATTCATGAGGTCATGACAGGGCTGATTCAAAGATTATGCGATGAAGTGGATCCAAAAGAATTACCATTGATGTATACTTGTTTATTTGAAGAAATCAACTGCTGTCTTAAGGATGGCTGTTTGGAGCATTTGAAGTGCTTGATTGATTTTCTTGCATTTGCTTTACAGAAGAAGCAAAGCAATGTATTCGGTCAGTTTACCAATTCGTTGTCGTTATTCTTTCACTGCTTGAATTCATTGTTAGTTCGGATTAGATGATTAGTAGATTCTTCTCTATTTTACCAGATAAGGTGAAGATGATTAAATTTGTTGAGTTGCTGGTTAGTAGATATGTGTTGCCTGGTAGCAACATAACAGAAGCTTCTTCATCTGAGGTTCTTGGAAGTATTCTTGACTTTCTGCTTTCTGTTTTGGATGTTCCAACCATTTCTGGCAATTTGTCCATCGTATCACCTTTCTATGCTCCAGTGTTCAAATTAACAAATCCGAGGTAAATTTTCTCTTGCTGATGGTGTTTGTTTACTTTGTTAACTCCTGGACATTTTGCTTCTTACCAAATGGTAGTGATCTAACACCTAACACTGATTTCAACTCTGTATCCAGTGTTATTGTCTTTATAAAGAAACTTTTGGCGACAGGTCCTCAAGTTACACAACATTTTGAAAGTCAGATATTGAGGTATGTAATATATTTTCTTATATTCCTTAAAAGAATTGTTATGTCTATTCACGATTCACACACAAAAGGTTTGACCATGCAATTTTATGCCTTGTAGTGCAATGGATAACTTCATTGCAAGTTCACCCGAGGATGTTATCTTTATCCTTCTAAATTTCTTTAAAGGATCAAAGAAGCAAATATTTCTTCGTGGCACTGATGGAAATCATCTGGATTCAGTGGAGAAAACTTACAAGTTCTTTGAATCAAAATTTTCTTTCTGGATAGAGTTATTAGATGATACAGCCGGCACTGGTAATCGATCTAGTAATAATCAGGTCAGTGAAAAGGAAGCTGCTATATTGTGGGGATCTATTTGCTGCTATCCTAACATGAAAGGTGTACATCAAGATAGTTTGTCACTGCTGAGGAAGTTGATCTTCAACTTTGATCGGTTGCTTGAAGTCGGAGAAGGTGATTTTACTTGAAGATTTCTTTATCCTAATATCACCGTAGTTGGTCTTTCTAAAAGGCATAAATTCAAATGATTGACAATTGACATGCAGAGAACATGAATGGTCTTCCGATGACTACCTGGAGAAGTCTACTTGGTGCAGCATTGTCATCATACCACGAACTATTGCTGGTCAACACCAGCAGAAATTCAGAATTTAGTTTTTTCATATTGCTTGCCAAGAGTCACAGTACATGCCCACAAGTACTGTCTGCTGTAGCTGAATATTTGGATTCCCTGCAAGGGTAAAGCTACATATACTTTTTACCCTCCACTTTAATCATTTGTCTCCTTAATAATTTATTTGATTAAGGCAATTCTTCATTTTTTTTCTGTATGTTTCTGTGAGCAGACTACCATCCCTGGATGTGACAAAAGAATTTGATCCACAAAATCTCTTGGATCTGTTCTCTATCTTTGCTGTCAATTTGAGCAGTCCAAGCAAGGATGTTCGAATTTTAACCTTGAGGATTCTATCATATTTTGTGAAGATGGATCAACGTCTAATCACAGATGAGGAGCGACCACAAAAGAGGCAGAGAACAGAAGTTTCTGGAGAGGAAGCTGTTGCTAAATACGCTAATGTATGTCTTGTGAACTAATACTTTTATTTGCTATTTTCCTGGCATTGCTCTAATGTTTCCTTGAAATCAGGTTGTGGATACTCTTTTGATTATTGAGTCGACACCAATTTCAGTATCTACTAGCCGTAAACTTGCTATCTTCATTTCTCGGATACAAATGAGTTTATCTTCCAAGATGGTTCATGATGATTACATACCTCCTCTCTTACATGGTATTATTGGCATATTGTACAATAGATTTAGTGATCTCTGGCCACCAACACTAGATTGCCTTGCTGTCCTCATTAGACAACACAAGGAGCTTGTTTGGGGTCAGTTTGTTCAGTTTATTGCAATTCACCAATCAAAAGGACTGACTGTGAAAAATCAGGAGAAGCTGGAAGCTGCAACCCAACCACAGTGTATGTATCAGTCGTTTATCTAATGTACTTTTTGTAAGATAATCTGCTGCATTCTCCTGATCTTTTGCTACAGCAGGGGTTAGGCAATAGGTCAACTCTGCTGTCCTCTATCCACTGTAGCAGTATGGCAGTAGTGCCAAGTGGTGGCTGATCTCAGCCCAATAGTAGATAGCTGTAGCAAGTAGTGGCTATAGTAGTAGTGGTACTAGTGTACCTTGTAGGTAGTAGCTAAGAGTTGTATATATCCAATTTGCTTGACAATGAAAGGGCAGTTCAGTTCAGCAGCATTTGCACTTGTGCTCGTGTTTGCTCTCTTCTCACCCTTCTCTTCTTCCTCTAGCCCAAAATCCAGTGTGTGTGTGTGAGAGTGAGCTGCTGCTCACCTGTGCAGGGCTGCTGGCTGCCAACACTTTTGTCATTGTTCTTCTAGAAACCCACACATTAGACAATCCAGAGCCTCTAGTAACCGTTTGTATATGTCTTTATTCTTTACATGCACACATGTGTGCTTTGAGTTGCCCTTTTCATGTCCTTTGCTGCTGTGTGGTCATATTCCTAATTCTGCTCAGAAGTTCTTGACACTTTATTGGGATTTTGTATCGTATTTCAAATGGTGCATTTGCAGGCTGTGTAGATGTAATATTATTGCCAGATCTGGCAGATAAGCTGTGATTTTGATGACAAAGTTCTGATGTGATATGCTTTTAGTTACACCCAATGGTACATTTGAGGATACTGGAGTCTTATCTTACCTTTTGAATTTTCTACTTGTGCCGACTTTCTACTACATCAAGGGTCAGCTTTGAGCCCTTATCTGTTTGCCTTAGTGATGGATGAGGTCACAAGGGACATACAAGGGGACATCCTTGGTGTATGCTTTTCGCGGACGATGTAGTGCTAGTTGATGAAAGCCAGACGGGAGTGAATCAGAAACTAGAGTTATGGCGGGAGACTTTGGAGTCCAAATGTTTTAGACTCAGTAGAACTAAAACTGAGTATATGAGATGTGACTTCGGCACTACTACTCGGGAGGAGGAAGATATTAGTTTGGAAGGTCAAATAGTGCCTAGGAAGGATATCTTTCGATATTTATGATCAATGCTACAGAGAGACGGGGATATTGATGAAGATGTTAGCTACAGAATCAAAGCAGGGTGGATGAAGTGGCGCCAAGCATCTGGTGTCCTATGTGACAAAAGGATACCACAGAAGCTAAAAGGCAAGTTTTATAGGACGGCGATTAGACCTGCTATGTTGTATAGTGCAAAATGTTGGCCTACGAAAAGACGACATGTTCAACAGATAAGTGTCGCGGAAATGCTTATGTTGCGTTGGATTTGCGGTCATACAAGAAGGGATCGAGTTCGGAACGATGATATACGTGATAGATTAGGGGTAGCACCAATTGAAGAAAAGGTTGTCCAACACCGGTTGAGATGGTTTGGACATGTCCAACGGAGACCTCCAGAGGCACCGGTGCGTAGTGGAATCCTAAGACAGGATAGTAACGTGAAGAGAGGCAGAGGAAGACCGAAGTTGACTTGGGTAGAGGCAATAAAAGGAGACTTGAAAGGATGGAATATACCCAAAGACTTAGCCTTAGATAGGAGTGTTTGGAAAACAGCTATTCACTTGCCTAAACCTTGATTGCTTCTGCTGGGTTTCAACTTTAGCCTACCCCAACTTGTTTGGGACTTGTTGTTGTTGTTGTTGTTGTTGTTGTTGTTGTTGCCGACTTTCTAACTTAGTGTTTTGCATGCTTCTACATTAACAAATGAACAATAGTTCCTTCTATTCAACTCGGTTTACATAATGAAAAATTAATTTGTTCGTTTTCACATATTTGTGATTTACTTGTAATTGGCCTACAGAAATCCTTTTTGTAAAATGCTTAGTAGTAATTATGGAAAGCAACCGATTTGAAGCAGTAAGACTCGATGATTTATCTTTACAATCTTTCTGATATTATTGAGTATTCTTGTATCCATTCTCCTTTGGCTCTGTTTATTCTTTTTGTACTGCTGTTTCTTACTCCATGTTTGGTATTGCAGCTATTTTTTACTGCTTCAACTTGTATCTTGCTATGGACTTTGATTGCACACCAGCTGAGACCATGGCTACCTTATTGCTTCAATCGCTCCAAAGGGTTCCTGATGTTGCTGAATCCCGATCTCGACATCTTATACCGCTATTTCTCAACTTTATGGGTTATGATGATGGCAGCATCTTTAGGTATTTATTAGATGACAAACTATCTTATTTCTACAATTTTGACTTTTGGAAGTCTGATCCTTATTGATACCTTTTTTGAACTGACTTCTGCAGTGCTGATTCATATACGCCTGAAAAATGTAAAGGCAAACAATGGAAAGCGATTCTAAAAGAATGGTTAAACTTATTGAGGTTAATGCACAATGCAAGATCGTTATACCAGAGCAAATTTCTCCAGGAAGTGCTAACTAAAAGGTCTGCGAATAAATAGTTATATATGTGCTGCTGCGGCCTGCAGATGAATTTATGTGTTTTTTGTGTCATAAATTGTGTTCTAATTGACAATCTGTTCCCAGGGTTCTTGATGAAAGTGATCCTGACATACAAACAAAAGCATTGGATTGCCTTTTGAACTGGAAGGATGAATTCTTGACCCCGTACAGTCAAAACCTTAAAAATCTGATTGACGTAAAGACTCTTCGAGAAGAGCTGACCACATGGGCAGTTTCACATGACTCAGCAATTCTGAAAGACCATAGAAGTCGTGTGGTTCCTCTGGTTATCCGTGTGTTGGCACCGAAAGTAAGGAAGCTGAAGATACTTGGTTCTCGAAAGGTTTGTGTTTTGCTTACTGCTTATCTATCAACAATAATGGTATTTGTAATTTTTCATTTGCTTTGTGTTTGACCTCGTCATTATTTTTTTGCATTCTGCCAGCACACAGGTGTCAGTCATCGAAAGGCAATTCTTCGTTTCCTTTTGCAGTTTGATTCAAATGAACTTGAGCTCTTTTTCTCATTACTTCTGAGGTCCTTGATCCCTGGCAGCCTCCAGCCTAAAATGTTTGGTTCTCAGTCTGACAACCTACTTGGAAATTTCACTGACATTGTTGGAACTTCAACAGAAATTTGTGTAGAGAACTTTACATGGAAAAAGGCAAATGGTTTCATTCATCTGGTTGAAGAAATTTTTGGTACCTTTGATATGGCACATATAAGCCCATTTCTTAATGTTTTATTAATCATTGTCGCTCGCTTGCTGGAGAGTTGCATGCGGAATCTTAGAAGTGAGAGTGATGGGAAATATCCTTGCAACCAATCAAAGGACCATGATAATGATTGTTCCATAAATTCTGAAGTGGGCAATTCTGTAAACGTGGATGAATGCCGTAAAGAAATGCATCTAGGAGACCATATGGAGGTGCGCCATATTATCACCTTTACGGATGCTCTTATCTTTCATTTTTACTCTATGGTACCATATGTGACATCTTTTGCTGAACTCCCAAAGTAGCTTTGTGTTACTCTGGTAATCAAGCTCAGAATGCCAAATTACTCAAATAACTAGGACATCTGAAGATATTATAGGGAAGAACTAGTTACACATAGCAAATCAAGTAGATGGTTCTATCAAATTCTTACTTCAAGTACTTATTTGTAAGCTTGTGTCATTATTTCTTATCACGAAGCTACTATGCATTTTATTCGCCAAATGTTTATATCTTCTCTTAACTAATTGCTACAGCAACCTCACTCTCATGCAGACAAGTGTATCCATCAAGCAGTTGAAGGATTTGAGGTCTTCATGTATTAGAATTGTCTCGTCAGCCCTTAGTCACTATGAAAGCCATGAGTTTGGAGAAAACTTCTGGGGTATTTTTTTCTCTTCTGTGAAACCTCTGATAGACTACTTTACACAAGAGGCTTCCAGTAGTGAGAAACCAAGTTCATTATTTGCTTGTTTTATGGCTATGAGTCGGAGCCCAAAATTAGCACCACTGCTGGGGTCGAATAATCTTGTACCAGCTATTTTTTCTATTTTAACTGTGAAGACAGCGTCAGGATCCATCACCACCTATGCACTTGAGTTCATTGAGAATCTGTTGAGGTTGGATATTGATTTGCAGCAGCAAGATGACCATTCAGTGAAGAAAGTTCTTCTTCCACATATGGATGTTCTTATCCATAGTCTCCATGATTTTGTTAATCATCGCAAAGAGCTTAACAGGTTACTCACGCCATTACTATAGTAATACGTGCAGAATGCAAAACCTTGACCACTTCAATATACTAAAATACTTCCTCTTTTTCACTGTATTTGTTCATGGCATCGGGGGATAATTCAGTATATCTGTCCATTGAAGAAATCAAAAGTATAGTTATTGTGATGTTTCACAGTCTACCCCCAATTAAATGCCTTGAAGGAGGAAGATTAGTTATAGCATGCTATTTAGTTGGGTTATGGATGGTTATTTCACACTGAGTTCTCTTTGAACTATTTTCTTGGTTAGTGCGCATTTTTTGGGCTATGGACAGGCATAGTCTATCAAATGAGAGTGATCGTAAAAAAACACCAATATGTCAGTCATTTAATTTATTTTGTCCATTCATAGAAAATGTAATTTTCAGAGTTGTGGATCTAAGACTAATCAACAAATGAATCATAGCTTCTGTAATATTAATTTTCTATAATGTTTTGTTCATCTATTATGGTGGTTAAACATCTCTTATGAGAGACTCAGGATTTCAATGTCATTGTTTAGATGTCTCTGTTTTGTCAAGCAAGTGTATAAATTTTCTTAGACTCTTCATTGCTTGGGTCGCATCCTCTCTTTAAAATTTTTGTTTTACATTGCATCACATTAATATCTTCTGACGCGTTTACAGCACATTTGGGAGCATATGCATGTGACTTAATAAGCTTGACTTAATTTCCTGCATTTTTAATATATACAGGAGATCTGGTACATGGCTTGGGCAACGCGAACTTAGGCTGTTCAAATTATTGCTAAATTACATCACAGATCCCTCAGCTGCTGATAATTTCATAGACCTTATTCTTCCATTTTTCAGTAAGAAAGACTTGAACTCCGGTAAGCCTTTTATGGAGTAAATTTTGTGTGACATTAGCCTGCATATCGCATGATTGTTTTTTTTTCAGTCTGCAACTGCCCAACCTTGACATGGTCTGCCCTATTTGTCTCGTCTTTTATATTGCAGATGATTGTTTGGAAGCACTATGTGTTGTGAGGGGAATAATTCAAAATCTGAGATGCAAGGTATCTGTAAAAGTTCTAAATGCACTGAATCCATTACTTGCGAGTGTCGGATTGGAACTGCGGCTATGTATCTGTGATATTTATGCTGGGTTGTCATTGCATGATCCTTCAATGTTGTTTCTGGTAATTATCACTATTTGTGATGTCAATTATGTCCACTTTGCCACGTTGCCTGTTCCTGTTTCACAGTTTCTTGTGCTAATTTGCATTTTTGACAGGCTGGGTTAATACGAGATCTGAATGCAGTTTCAGCTTCAGAACTTGGTGAACTAGATTATGACACAAGACTTAACACCTATGACAAGGTTAGGCCACAGTTGTTTCTTGGCTTGACAGAAGAGCATGTGGGTGCCATATTATCTCACTGTGTGTATGATATGTCATCTGAAGAGTTGATTTTGCGGCAAAGTGCATCGAGGGCTCTGCAGTCATTCCTGGTTTTTTCTGCCTCAGTTATGAATAATGATGTGTCCAAATACTCGATTGATGATAAATCTAGAGAGAATAATACCAGAAGCATTTGCACAATGGGCTGTATTCAGAAGATATTGGAAAAAACTTATCTGCACAATATGGGAGTAGCAATGACTAAAGATATATCAATTCAAAAGGTGCGTATATATTTATTATTTTTTAGTTTGTAGTCTATCAAATTATTGGTTGAAGGGCTGAAAATGATGTTGTATTCAGGAATGGATTATTTTACTTAGGGAGATGGTCTCCAATTTTAATCATTTAGCATCCTTAAGCTCATTTAGGCCTCTCTGTAAGGAGGATATGGAAGAGGATTTTTTCCACAACATAACTCATTTACAGGTAAATGTGCTTGATTCAGTTATACCAAAGGCCAGATAAAGGACTGTAAAACTCATTTATATTTACTAATGCAGGCTGGTAAAAGATCAAAAGCATTGTCGCTTTTCAGACAGGGAATCAAGGAAAACAACTTTTCAGAGGTAAATGATAAGAGGACGCTCTAGTTGATATCAGTATGATATGTGCATATTTGGAAATTAAATTGATGATAGTTGATCATTTATTTCGGCTGTTGAATTGAAAAGCTAAGTACTTGTTTGGTGGACCCGTAATGCAAGTACCAGTTTTTTTTAAAAAAAAAATAGGTACTTTCTCTTTGCTTTGTCAGGCTAGTATGGCTTCACAAATGTTTATATAATATTGCTGAAGAGATGTGAGCCTATTTTTTCCCTTTACCGTAAAGGTCCTAAGAGATTTGTCTCACAAGCCAGATTTTCTTTGAAACTGTGTAACAGTGTACGGATCTTGCATCACAAGCAGCAGAAATTTGTCTTCTAAAGCAGTGCAATTCTGTCTTGCAATACTGTGTTAACAAAGGAAATCTTAATAGTTGACGACTACAGGAATGTTAATGTGTTATGGCCATCTAGTTAGTTAGCACTCAGCAGTCAGCACCTAGAAAAACAAGATGTTCAAAGATTTCATTTTCCTATAAAGAAAAACATTAATCTGTTTGTTGCTATAGTGTTTTTGTTTCCACCATTGGTTCTTGCGTTTGCAGAAAATTTACCAGCAAAATTGATGGCCTTTTCTTTTTGTTTAGATACATTTTTTTTTACCTTATATAAGAAAAGCATTCTGCACATAAATCGCAACTCACCAATCTCCGTTTCATGCACCTGTACCTGTTGCATAACTCGATAATAACTTGTGCAGGTAGTGTCCAGTGAACTGAACTCGTTATCTTCTCCCGTTTATTTTTTCATTAACATCACTTTGTGCTTTCATTTAGGATATCACTATGAAAGTCTTCGTTCCACTATTTTTCAATATGTTTTCTGACGTAAAAGCTGGGAAGGGCGAACAAGTCAGAGATATATGTTTGGATACACTATCTTCTGTTGCTGCCAAAGTGCAGTGGGAACACTATAGAACAATATTGAAGAGATGCTTCCGAGAATTAAACCTTAGACCTGATAAGCAGAAGATCATATTGAGGCTGATTTGCTCCGTGTTAGATGCATTCCATTTCATGAAGCCTGCAAATGATGCCTCAGGAAATTCTGATGCTATGAGTGAAGATACTGATTCTTCCCTTACATTCTCTTTGACTACGGTCTCTTCTGATAAGCAACAGTACCTGCAAAAGGTTGTGTTTCCACAGGTTCAAAAGTTGTTAGGGTCAGATCCAGAGAAAGTCAACGTAAACATAAACCTTGTAGCACTGAAAATACTTAAGTTGTTACCGGTGGATTATTTTGAGTCACAACTTTCGAGCATCATTCATCGAATCTGTAACTTCCTCAAGAATCGCCTTGAAAGCATACGTGATGAAGCTAGGTCTGCTTTAGCTGCTTCTGTGAAGGAACTTGGGATTGGGTATTTGCAGTTTGTGGTCAAGATATTAAGAGCTATACTTAAAAGAGGTTTTGAGTTACATGTTCTGGGCTACACACTTCATTATTTATTGTCAAAAAACATTGCTGCTGATATGTATGGTAGGCTTGACTACTGTTTAGAAGATCTGTTGGCAGTGGTTGGCAGTGATTTACTTGGAGATGTTGCAGAACAAAAGGAAGTTGAAAAACTTGCCTCCAAAATGAAAGAGACAAAGAAGAGAATGTCATTTGAGACTCTTAAGCTGATTGCTCAAAGTATTACATTCAGGACAGATTTACTGAAGAAGATAATCTCACCTGTTTCTTTACATCTTCAGAAGCAACTTACTCCAAAGTTGAAAACCAGACTTGAGATGATGCTACACAATATAGCCTTAGGGATTGAGTGCAACCCATCTACTGAAACATCAAACTTGTTTATCTTTGTGTATTGTCTTATTGAGGATACTATTACAGGAAGTAGATCTGAATGCAAAGAGAATACACAATCTAGACCTGATCAAGATGGTACTGTAGGAAAGACCTTCCTGGGGCTAGGTGAGAGTGGATCGCAGAATTCTTATATACTTACCAAGTTTGCACTTGACTTACTTCGTAATCGTCTGAAGAGCATCAAGCTAGACAAGGAAGATGAACAACTCGTGAAGATGTTGGATCCTTTTGTTGACCTTTTGCGAAAGTGTATGAGTTCTAAACATGAAAGTGTTCTCTCAGTCACTTTTAGATGTTTTGCCTTGTTGGTGAAACTTCCTTTGCCATGTCTCAAGGACAATGCAATTATTATAAAAAATGTACTTATGGACATTGTACACAAAGCTGGAAACACCAATGGTCATTTGGTCACATCTTGTTTTAAGCTACTTGCTGATCTACTTAGAGGGTTCAGGATTTCACTTTCAGATAATCAGCTTCAGATGCTTGTTCATACCCCTATGTTTGTGGATCTTCAGACAAATCCTTCCCCTGTTGCCTTATCACTTCTCAAAACAATGGTCAGGCTAAAATTGGTTTCCCACGAAATTTATGATATGGTTGTTAAGATAGGAGAGTTGATGGTAACAACGCTAACTGAATCTATACAGCAGCAATGCATTCAAATTATGCTACAATTTTTTCTAAACTATCCACTTTCTGAGAAGCGCATACAGCAACATATTGACTTTTTTCTGGCAAACTTAAGGTATGATGAATATCCATGGTTACTTACCTTTACCGTAACATCTGCACTGTATGCTAACACTCTGGAAAATTGCAGTTATGAACATCCTTCAGGAAGAGAAGCGGTGCTTGAAATGCTCCATGACATTCTTACCAGATTTCCCCAGAGGATTATTGATGACCAGGGTCAAACTTTTTTTCTTCATCTTGTAGTTGCTCTAGCGAATGAGCAGCATCAGAATGTGTCTTCAATGATCCTTAGAGCTATCCAAAAGCTGTTAGGACGCATTGGTGATCAGGGAAAGAGTTCCATTTTTGAATATTCCCTTTCGTGGTATACTGGTAAAAAGAAAAGTCTGTGGAGTGCTTCAGCCCAGGTTACCATCTAGTAGCATTGCTATATTTTACCATATACTTAAAAAGATATATTGTACATTTAGCAGTGGACTGGGTGGGTGGTTGCAATTTGCTTTTGTATTTGGGTGGTATTGAAGTACTTTACTTAGTCCCTATATGCTTATGTTTCAAAGGACTATTGTCTTTTTACAACAATTATTGAAGTGGTTCTTGCACTTTACAGGTTATTGGTTTACTTGTTGGTGACCACACATTACAAACGGGCAAGCACCTTAAAAGTATTCTGGCTGTTGTTAAGAAAATAGTGGAATCATCTGTCATTGCTTCTGGAGCTATACAATTAGGCTTATCTGATGAAGCTGTCCTGCCATTGTGGAAAGAGGCTTACCACTCTGTTGCCATAATGGAGAGGTTACTTCTTTGCTTTCCGGAGTTGTATTTTGAGCAGAACATGGAGGTATGATTACCTTCGTGCACTACTACTATATCAAATTGCTGATGTGTGTATTTTGATTTGTTTTTTCTGATCTAGATCTTGCCATGTCTTATGTCGCCTCACCTCATGCCTTTAGTCGCTTAAACGTAAGGCGATAGTCAGTCGCCACGCCTATCTTTACTGCTTTGCTAACCTTGGTGTTGTCAAACAATCATATTATTCTTTTCCAGCATTCATTTTTTTGCAGCCATGTCTTTTTACCCATTTAATGAGATTTGTACTACTGGACTTAAGTATTCAAGGCACATTTAATGAGATTTGTACTACTGGACTTAAGTATTCAAGGCACTTATTGACCATTTACTTATTTAGTGTTGGGGTCTCAGATTTATTTGTTCTCAAACATAGTATTTCTTTCAAGCCTTGAACTGGTCATATCCCTTGCAACCTCAAGTTTATGACACAGTTATAATTTGCAGGACTTATGGATAATAGTATGCAAGTTGTTGATCCATCCTCATTCGATGTTGCGTAGTATTTCAAGCTCTCTGGTAGCATCATATTTTGCTACAGCGGAGAAGAGGAAACGTGAACAGAAATTGGATGCCCCATCATGGTTGCTTGTTCAACCAAGCAGGCTATTCATAATAGCTGTTTCCTTGTTGAAACAATTGAGGACTGAACTGTGTGATACTACGGCAAATAATCTGATTGTACAGAATCTTGCATACTCAGTCTGCAACTTGCATATGTTGATTAGGCAATCGACCTCAACACATCAGTTTTGGTCTAGCATTAGTTCTGATCGTGGTGCGTTCCTTGAGGGTTTTGAATTGCTTGGTTCAACAAAAGTGAAAAATATGTTTCTCCTTTGTACTTCGAGATCTAGTGATGTATCTGGATCTAGCCTTGGCATTAACGAAGAGCCTACATCTTTGTTAGTTTCGTCAGTCCTAAAGAAGATGGGAAGAATTGCAATGCAGATGCAGGATACACAGGTAAGCTCTATTCCACAGCTAAGTCATTTCCTTGTATGTTTCTCAGGATGGTGGCTTGCAATTCATATGAAATAATTATTCTTCTGTCCATATGCAGATAAAGATCGTGTTCAATTGCTTTAGTATGATTTCTTCAGCTCTTGGCTCAGATGAATCACTAACCTATGCTGATCACCTCTTGGCCCCATTGTATAAAGTTTCTGAAGGATTTGCTGGGAAAGTTGTTAGTGGTATGTTAATATTCCTGTCTTGGTATTGTTCATTATTTGTTTTCAGCATATCGGAGGTGCATACATATTCAGTGTAGGGATGTTCAATGCCTAGGGCTTTCCATCTGTCTGAGCTTATCTGAGTACCGTTTTGCTGTTGTGGTTTCAGATGAAGTGAAGCAACTGGCCCAGGGGGTCCAGAACAAGTTACGTGACCTGATTGGTTCCGAGAAATTTGTTGAAGTCTACAAGAGTGTTTGGATGGGCCTGAAACAGAAGCGGGACGGTAGAAAGCAGGCACAGAAGATTGTTGCAGCCGTGGACCCGGAACGGCATGCCAAGCGAAAGCAGCGTATCGCAGCCAAGCACCGGGAACACAAGAGGCGGAAGATAATGGCGATGAAGATTGGCAGGTGGATGAGGTAGTTCGGTATTAGGCTCTGCAGAATTAGGTGGCAATGGAATCATCTAATTGTAGAGGTTTTGTACTGCTAATTTTTCGTGCTAGAAGTGCTGGCATAAAATTAAGTTAATGTTTAAGTAGATAGAAAATTTTGTTCTATACGCTGTGTCACTAACTTTTGACTGGCCGACCTAATTTTGTTGGTGAGCTGCGGAATCATATTGTAAGTAAAATATTAAGAGGCATATGCAATGAAGGTATAATTGTTTGGATTAATTTCTTTTTTGGGGAAATAAGTGATAATAATATATTAATTGTGTAACCAAAAATTCTTGCATGAGGTTTGCAGCTGGCGCCATCTGATACCCTGGCTTGATCAATCGGTGAAAATGCACCGGTGAAACTGATACAACCGAGCACCGACAGTCTGCTGCATCCCGGGAATCTGAAGCCGTATTGTACAATACTACTAACTAGACTTTTTAAGTTTCCTTTCGATGATGGATTTTCATGTGAACTGTGGAGGATCCGGGTCTCCTGGAACATAGGAAAAGGTATGTATTTGCATAGCAATTCAATAGAAAAGGATTGGGTTAATTAATGTATCTTTTTAACGAAAAAGTATTGGGTTAATTAATGTATCATTTTGAATGAAAAAGTTAATTTAATCTATGAATGCGGTTTTTTCCTAGTTTCAAAATTTAACACTACAAGTTTGGAAATCTGAAACGTTGTATGGCGATTTGGTTCTTCTTGAATACGTACATGGTATTACTCCCTTTTTAGATTTGACTAAATATATATAATAGAATACTAATAAGTATCATTGAATATATTTTTTGTAATATCATTGAATATATTTTTGTAATAAAATTATTTGTAGATATAAATGTTGGTGATATTTTATAAAACTAGTGAAACGGCACAAACCTCTATATGACATTCTATTTGGGATGGAGGGAGTATGATTAGATTAATCATCAACCCTATACAACACTCTTTACGGGACCGATAATGATGTGAACCGGTCGTTCGGGCGGCCGGACGCACCCAACCCGCGCGCCCTTATCCCATCGCGAACGCACCCGACCGCGCGCCGAGCCAACCCACCCGTGCCGCATGCCGCTCTCGACTGCTCACTCACGCAGTGCCCACCCGCTCGCCGGAACGGACGCCGCGCGCACCTCACTTGCGCCCGACCGCCCCCTCCCTCCCTCCCTCCCTCCCCTCTGCGCGACCTCCATGAGACCCCGCGCTCCCCAGCAACCCCGCTCCCGCTCCCCCACCGAAGACGAGGACGACGGCGGTGGCTCCGATGAGGTAGGTCGGTTCTTCTCTGGATCTGATCCCTCCTCCTCCTCCTATGGATCTGAGGGACGCGACAGTGACTAGGGTCCGCGCGAGCTCTGAGGTCCTATTCGCTCTTCCCTACGGCGAGCTCGAAGGTCATTGGCTAGGGGCTATTTTGTATGCTTTTTTTTTTTGATGTTTCTCCCATGTTGCAATGGGTGTTTTGGGATGTTGCAAAAAATGAATTTTGAAGTTGCAATGGGATTTTTGGGTCGTTGCAATAGATGTTTTTGCGACGTTGTAGTACTACTGCTTGAGATGTTGCAGTACATAATTTTTGATAGTTGCAGCACATAATTTTTGATGTTGCAGTACATATTTTTTCGATGTTGCAGTACATATCTTTCGTTGTTGCAGTACATATTTTTCGATGTTGCAGTGCATGTTTTTCAATGTTGCACTACATATTTTTTTCGATGTTGCAGTATTTACAACCCGACTTTGCAATACATAGTTTTTTCATATGTTTTGCAATGTTGCAGTTGAAGTGTTTCATGCTCTTTTGGGACAGGGGCGCGGTGGGAGAACGGGCGACAGGGGCGCGGTGGGGAGCGGAGGACAGTGGCAGGTTCCGGGACTGGCATCCGGATGCACTTGCGCGCTGGACGTCCGGGTGCTAGAATCACCGTTATAGGACAGAGAGTATATAAGTTTTGTTTAACCAAATTTGGCCTCATCCCTCTTTTCCTTTGCTTCTGTTTTTTTTTTTTTTTGAAAAAATGCAGCATTATATTAATTTTACTATTTGTTACAAATTATGGCCTAGATCATTTCTAGAGGCTTATAACACCAAATTGGTCCATTTGAACTAAACGGCTATTCTTGCTACATGAGTTGCTTTATTGCAGTCTCCTAACATAAGAAGACCTGCCTATAGGCCCTAGTGTGGAATCCAAGGAGGGAATGATGAGTCCCAACTCAGAATTGTTAACCAAAATAATTTTTATTTTACCTATCTTCTTTCTGATATCATCTACCTATCATATCTATTTATGTATTGGTTCTCGTGTATATAGTTTTCTATCTAAGAAGTTATTTCCTTATATCTCTATTAATTTCAATGGCACATTATTATTTTGATTAGTTGAGTGTCCTAAGAACGTTGGGACGCCGGAGGCGCAGCCAACCAAAGCTTCCACCAACCGTCAACACCCGTGTGCGGCAGGCAGAAGAAGACTCGCAAATTGACCCGTCGGCTCGGCGCCGTGGCACCCGGAGCACGGGCCGGCATCCGTGGCTCTGGCTCCGTCTCATAATGGCTGACGGCCTGACGCAGTGACACGCCCTTCCATCCATGGGTCAAAGTCTTGTGCCGGTCCACGGTGACGTCAACCGTGCCGAGCCAACCCTGCACGACTGGAAGAAAAGCCAGCAGCATGTCACAAACTCACTGGCTCAGCCGCACAGCGCATCCGGGGGCCGTCGTGTACGTGGCGTGGCGTGCCGCGTGGTTTCCTGCCAAAAATTAGTCTTGCTCGCGTGCGCAGTGCGCTCCGGCTCGCCATCCGTCGTCTCCGTCGGAGCTCGATCGGCACCAGGGTCCAGCGCGCGTGCAGGTCTTGGCGTCTTCACTTGCTGCCGTTGACGGCCTGCCCAGGTCCGCCCGGACAGGATAAGAGGCGCCCTTCTCCGCTTGCTGGTTATTAGTTGCCTACCTTGTCGCCTCTTGCCGTCGCTGTGACATCGACACTGGCACACGCGATTGATCGGTTGCCTTGCCGCTTCTCCGGGGACCGGGGCGATCGATCGATCGATCGATCGAATGTCGTCCTACTCGCCTCTCCTCTCACCGAGCCACGCCCACGCGGATGATCATCGGGTTCTCGGCGGCGATGCCGACGACGACGACATGACGGCCGTGTCCAGCTACCTCTCACTCGACGATGCCATAGATGATGTCGCCGGCGAGGAGTGGTACCGCCCGCTGGGAGAGGTGGAGGCGGCGGCGGCTGAGTTCCAGTCGGTGCAGCAGGAGCCACTCTTGTTTGCCACGCTGCAAGCGGAGGATGGCTACTGCGTCAGTGGCAGCGGCGGTGAGCAGAGCCTGCCGGCGGGTGCATCATCAGTGCTCAGCTCAGCTGCACTAACCAGCTACAACCACGACAAGATCAACCTGACGCAGTAAGCTTTTGATTGATGGATAAGCTGCCCGAGATGATCCTCTCTGTTAGTCTGTTAGGCCCATGAATAAGCTTTCGTTTGCTATTTGCTGAATATGGAAGGGACGGAGGCTCGAGGAGCCTCCTGAGGAGCGAGCACGGCAACGGCAAGATCGCGTTCAAGACGCGGTCGGAGGTGGACGTGCTGGACGACGGGTACCGGTGGCGCAAGTACGGCAAGAAGCTGGTCAAGAACAGCCCAAACCCGAGGTATATAATCGCTTTTACACTACTGCATCGATCCATAATTCCATATGTAATACTCCTACTCCAGTACTTCGTATCTTTTATTCTGTTTAAATATCTTCTCTGATGAAGAACATGAACATTTCTTCCAATCTGCTCGGGCGGCGCAATATAATATATCCAGGAACTACTACCGGTGCTCGAGCGAGGGGTGCCGCGTGAAGAAACGGGTGGAGCGGGAACGGGACGACGCGCGCTTCGTTATCACCACCTACGACGGCGTCCACAACCACCCGGCCGCCGCGCCGCCACGGTCGCCGCCCTATCGCCTGCTGGGGGACCTGCCGCACGGGCACCACGTCTAGTATCGAGGAAACCGGCGGCGGCAGGCACCGCGGCCGTCGATCTCTTGGCGCGGCTAGAGTTCTGTTCTAGCACTATTAGTGCCCGGGCGCTATATGCTCCGGAACACCTTTAGGGTCCGTTTGGTTCGCACCCAAACTTTGCCGCACAGCGCCGCACCTTCCGCGCCGCAAGTTTGGCGTGCGTTTGGTTTGCTGCGGCAGTTGCAGCTATTCTGCGGCCTCACCATCGCGTGCCAGTGCATTTTTGCTGCCAAAACATGCCGTAAGTGCGGCGAACGAAATTAGCGCCGCCGCAGCTCTGGCGTGGCATGCACCGGTTGCGAACCAAACGGACCCTTAGCCAAGTATTACAGTATATTAGTCTTCTTTAGATCCGTCTTTCTTAGACTCACTCTTTATTTCTTTTGAAAAAACTCACTCTCTGAACTCCTTGTTGAAGAGCTATTCTAATAAAAAACCACTCTTTAAACCGATGGTGATTCATTAATCCTGAATCTTTTACTCATCTATATGCTACTGATGTTCTACTTCCTCTAGTTCAGTTTAAAAGACATCTTCTAAATTACGTTGACTATTTCTCTATTTTATATTGCATTATTTATAGTTATAAATTTATAATTATTAGATAATAGTCATAATACATTTGACTACAAATTTAATAGTATCAAGTTTATATTATAATACTTTCAATTTTTAACTAAATTATTGAGATCAACGAATACAAAATTTGACATAAACGAAATGCCTTAAAAACTGGACTGGAGGAGTACTGCATAGTCGGGCTTATATGATCATGGGGGCCCAAATACTGGCGTTCCTTGATTGCTGGTGCAGCTCAGCCCCTCTGCGTTGTGGTCTTGCTGCTGGGCCGGACCGACCCAGTTTTCCTGCACCATAACATGATGACATGAGCGTCACTCAAACTGTTGGATTGGCTTAGTGTGACTTAAACTATTGGATTGGCTTATTAGAGTCGACAAATATGATTATACTAGACTCTAGTTTTATCACAAATTATGATTTTTAGCCAAAACTACTTCCCATTGAATCAATATGTCAAACCTAGTATTGATAAAAAATAATTTTTCATTCTCAAATTTAAAAATATATCTATATTCTCTATTTTAATTTATTGACAAATATTGATGATTTTTGTAATTCCATTGTCACATATAGCAAAAAATGGCATTGTTTGATGTCAACTTTTGATCTTAACAATGTTTTTTAATTGCTTGTCTCCTGTGTTAAAGGAGACAACAGAACTCTTTTAAAGTGAGCCTTAACAAACTTCAGCTTAGCTGGGTAATCAGAGTTGAGCTGTAACGGGCACTGGTTCGTTGCGTGAGAGCATCTTCGAAAGTCTTTCTAAAACTCATTCTCTAAATTATCATTTGAAGATCCATTTAAATAAATAATATTTTCTATATCTTTTTACTCTCCAACAGCTTTTCTACATCTTGCACGCACTTTAGAGAGTTAATCTCGTTGTCCATCTTTGGCTAGCTAGAAATCCGAAATAGAGGATCACTATATTTAGATATCCATTCAGAGAAGCTATTGGAGAGTATTTTTAATCAAGATCTCTACTTCTAATAATTAGAAAGAATGTAGAGAGTCTGCTCGAGTTGTTGTTAACATCAAAAGCTACCTTAGGCACCCATCATCATCAAAGCGTGTTACACTTGAGTATGGATGACATTGCTATAACGCTCGCCTATCGGTAGGAATGCAAGCAGGTTTATCCGCAAAACCTGTAAATAGAACTTAAATTTTGTAAATTATATGGCGATTTGCAAAATTAAGTCTATAGGTTTATGGATAGACCCAACTGTATCTCTACTTATCGGGACCCATTCTCATTTAGGGCTTGTTCGGTCATTCAAGAATGAAGGTCTGTAACGATTTTCAGTCGGAATACTTCACTAATTTGTATAATGTTGATAATCTGGAATAATTCCTTTTTTCCATTTCGAAACAACCGAATAGATCCTTAGTTTTTTTAATAAGCGTTTAGGTTCGTGTTGTAGAGGAAAGTAGGAACAAACGGAGTGAGACAAGAAAAGGAAAAAAGAACAAAACTCGTAGGCAGCGACCCCTAAGTGTCAAGGGAATATTCCAGGCTTTGTGCCATCCATGCGGCCGTGCATCCAGCCAGATGGAACGGTCACCATCTCGAAAGCTCATTGAGTTGAAAATCAGGCAAGGTTTCTAGACGAAAAAAAAAGCTAATCCTTCAATAAAAATTAAATAAAAAGGCTAACAGGAATCTCCAGCGATCGAAAGAAGTCGAACTCTGCGAGCTTCCAATGCACCAAAGAGAGGAAAAAAAGAACAAAAGAAAACGTTTTTTTTTTCCATCCAGATCCTCGCAAACAAAATCACGAAATTGCGTTCTGTCAGCCCAGCCCCCAGGGCTGGGTGTCCGTTTTTTTTGGTGCACACAAGGCAACAAGTGGCAAGCCCCTTTCCCTAAAAAAAAAGCCGAAGCCCTTATAAAAAAAAACCACAAGCCCACAATGGCGACGGCACACGTGTTCTGATGTCGCGTTTCCACCAATTGTTGACGGGGAGCCCAAAACGCCACGCAGCTCTGACTGAGTTCACGGAAAAAGACAGAAGAAAATTGGATGGGATCAGATTAAAAAGCCAATTAAGCTCGATGTGGGGTGTGTGATTATATAAAGGACATTATAAATCCAGGGCAGCAAAGGAAAAGGAAAGGAAAGGGAGAAAAATTCATAGTAATAAATAAATAAATAATAATAATAATAAAAGAAAGGTAGCGTAGAGGATAGGAGGAGAACAAAGGTCGCGTCTCGAAGGTTCTTGCCTTGTTGGGAAGGGATGGCGTCGGAGGTGGAGGACGACGCGGTGGCCGCGGGCGCGCCGCTGGTCGCCAACGGTGCAGCCGACGTCCGCCGGAGAGTATGCCGCCGCGCCGCTGCCCTGTCGTTTGATTTTCGTTTTTTCTCTCTCGAATTCGCTTTTGGCTGCTTTTATTTATGAGTCATGATCTTCTGCGGCGGGTTCCGTGGTGTGCAGAGGGATCAGGCGAAGGCGATTCTGTCCAAGCAGGCAGTCAAGATCGCCACCAAGGCCGAGCAGCACGAGCGCTTAATCTTTAAGGTCATTTCCGACTCTGGCTCTGTTTAATCTCTTTATTACTGTCTTTTTTTGCGCGGTTGATGTTCACAAATCTTGGCGCTCCCGTGTTCCCTTTCTTTATCGGAATCTAAGGGAATTATTGGCCTGCGTTTTCCATAGCCAATCCAGTCCGCAGCCAATTTTGGTGGGCATTGTGTGATGTTACTGTTCGATTGGCTGGTTCGTTTCGTCGCTGGTCCGTGAAGAAATCATTGGCTGGTTCGTGTAAGAAAAAAAATACTGTTCGGTTTGAAAATTTAAGATCGTTTACGAGGAGCCACAGCCAAACGAGCAGGCTGTGGCCATAGATTTTTATCAAGCATTTTAGCGGAAAGGAATAAGTACCTGCACGCACTTTGTGCATTTATTGTTCGTACTATACGGCAGAGATTGTGGTAATAATTGGATCCGCTGGATTGGGTGTAGGGAATGTTCTCATATGGTGCTATTCGTTTTAAATGTGCAGGTCACACACTTGCTGGGTGTTCTTGGATTTGGGGGATTTTGCTATCTCCTGGGTGCCAGTAAGCTACTGCAGCATTGATCTATTTGGTTGGGTGTTACGTACTGTGCATCATAAGATTCTTGTTGGCTCTGGTGTTGCTTGCAGGACCACAGGATGTGCCATATGTGTACTGCCTGTTCTATGTCATATTCGTTCCGCTCCGCTGGATTTACTACCGCTACAAGAAATGGCATTACTATCTCCTGGTGAGTCCATTATTGTCTCACATTGGAAATGCGTCAAGTACCAGAAATGTGCTTCCTCAGAATTTTACTTAGTTCATAACTTAAGGTTGTTAGTTTCAGTGTCTTACTTTACTTTAAATTTAGTTGTTATTCGCACCACAAATCTCACAATAGAAAGCTTTGTTGAATGAAAGGATAAATAGTTGTAAATAGCACATATTAGTATGATGAGTCGGTGACATATTGTTGTATGACATTGTCCCAACATCTTGCAGTTGCACAATATTCCTATGTGGCTATGTGTGTAAGCGGTAGACCTATTGTCACATATCTCATGTCTTTATCCTTTAAAATTTAAAAGAGGAGCCACTCCATTCTAATGATGTGGAGTGTCGATGGTATTTTTTAGTGTACCAGGAATAGCCCTTTACCTGATTTACCTGATAAATAGTGTGCCTACATTATATCTAGGTCAATATTCTAGGTTCTGTTTCATTTTACAGTTTGAATGTTGTCACAAATATAAGTTTGCTAAGCAACAGTTTTGTGTTCTTTTGATGGGATCTTCTCCATTTCTAAAGCCATCATCTTGTGTGTAAACCTTGAGGTTTATTTTTTCTCTTTTTTCTGCAGGATTTTTGCTACTATGCCAACACCTTTCTCCTTGTAATGATTCTCTTCTATCCAAAGGATGAAAAACTTTTCATGGTTTGCTTCTCGTTTGCAGAGGTATGAAAAATACCCTTGTTTATTTCCAGAGCTTGTCCAGGATGTATTTAATCATTTTAAATCCTCACAGGGTCCACTTGCTTGGGCATTAATTGTGTGGCGTTGCAGCTTGGTTTTTAGTTCATTTGACAAACTTGTTAGTGTCCTGATACATCTCTTACCGGGTAAGTGGTCTCAGACATGAATATCTGGATTCAATACATACAGCATTTTACTTTTTCAGGTAAACATCATTTTGTTCTAGTGAAAATATGTAACCATTTCAGTTTATTGACATATTTGAGTTTGACCCGTTGTGTGAGTAATCTATGGGGACTTTACATTATTTGAATTTGAATTATTTCTTCGCTTTGTTAATTAGTATGTGATGTTAGTGTTCTCGTTCATGATTCTTTAACCCACACATCCCATTTTTGTCTGGCTGAACTTCCTTCTTCCTTTATATCTGAAAGTTTCAAGGAAACTACAAATGGAATGGTGATGCCAAAATATGAAACAATGAGGAACACAAAATTATTGACACTCAATCTGATGAATTCAACAAAAATGTGCAATTGGGCCTGTTAAGATTCAGTTGAACTACAGAAGGGATATACTTGATGCCTTATCAAATTTCATATAGGTCCTTGGTATACTAGGATTATGTAGTTCTGTTCTTTATCAATTGCATTTTGTTTCTGAATATTGGTCGGGTTTCATGACTGATTGAGTGCCTCTGCAGGGATTGTTCTATTCACTATCCGGTGGTGGAATCCACAAACATTTGCTGCCATGCACCCAGAAGGAAGAGAAGCCAGAGATACATGGCCATATGTGGAGGATAAATCATATCTGTGGACATGGCTCTTTTTTATTCCACTAGCTGCTTACACCCTGTGGCAACTTATGTATTTCCTCATAGTTAACGTCCTGCGTCGACAGAGGTTGTTAAGGGACCCTGAAGTCATGACATCCTACAGGTACATGTTTGCATTTTATTAAGGTCTAGCATGCACTATATGTACTGGAGTAGTTCGTTTTGCTTGCTATGCATCTGTATTGTTGCATGCCCTCTTGCTTTGTACTGAGAGAAATGAACTGAATACCCAAAAGGGTAGGGTTATGAAATAGCAAGGGAGGGAAGATGGGCTTGTGTTTGCCCCTGACACACTTACTGCATGTGTCACTTGGTCACCAGTGAATAATGATATTAGAACTAATTAATCTCGTTAATCACAGGTGAAGTTGCATTTCTTTTTTTTCTTCAACACGCGAGAAATCTGTGTCTCATCATTTAAAGAAGGGAAGAAAAAGGATACAAAGAAAACCATCCAAACACTATGCACACGTACACACACACACACTAAATTTACATATGCTAGGTAATTAGAATAAACACGCAAAAGACATTAAACCAGGGAGGGAGACCTAGTTGAGCCCCATGACCAAGTTCCTGAGATCCCTGGCCTTGACAGAACATGGACAGTTCCTTCTTCAGCCACCATCCTAACTACCATAATCACATATGGGGAGTGCTATTACTGGATAAAAAGTCAGTCGTAACAATGCTTGCACAGCTCCCAAGCAACAAGGGTAGTGTTGTGGCCTTCTCTGAATTGCTTGTCGCCTCCCAAGCAACAAGGAAAAAATATAGTTCCTCGCAGTAATGACTGTCTCATTTACATTAATGTAGTTTTGATGGTTGAGGTAGACTTTGAATTTGTATACAAAAACTCTTCTCATGCTGTGTCCTTAAGTTTGCACCTGTTTTGCGTTTTGCCCACTTGCATTTCCTGGGTTCATGAGTCCTTGTTTCCTAATTCCTACGGGTTCGAATAACTGTTGGTATTCTCGAATCTCGAATATCCTTGATCCCAACATAGAACCTAATGTTTATCTTATGAACTGTTTGTCAGGGAGCTCTCAAAGAAAGCACAGAAAGCGAACAACATCTGGTGGAGGCTGAGCGGACTGCTGGGTGACCGGAACCGGCAGGTCATGTACATACTGCTCCAGGCGCTGTTCACAGTGGCAACAATGGCCCTGACCGTCCCTATATTCCTGTCCTACCGGATGCACGTGGTGTTCCTGATACTCAAGGTGTGCGCGTCGACATGGAATGGTGGCAGCTTCATCTTGGAGGTGATGCCTCAACAAGTAGTACAGAAGCAGCAGAAGAAACTGGACATGAAGCCCATCGAACAGGGGAGCTCGACACAGGGTGCGCCAGGTGATGATGGTACACTGGGTAACCACCACCAGCACACATCTGAGGAGCAAATCCAGGAGTGAGGAAATTGAAGCTGGATGTAAGATTAGATTTTGCTGTTTACTGATGCAACCTTTGTTTTACTGAGTGTTCTTTCTGTTGGAGTTTTTTTTTTCTTTAGCTCTGCTTAAGTTGTGAATTGTGACATCTATAGGTTTGGGCTGAATGATATGGGGTGAGAGATGATGCGTGCCCATGCTTGTCTTGGGCTTGGGCAAACATAAGGTCTTGTTTGGATGTATGTGTATCTACTCCAATCCATATGTGTTGGAGTGGAATGGAATATAATTTAGTTTAATTTCACTCCAATCTACTTCAATACACGTGGATTGAGATAAATACATGTGTATCCAAATAAAGCCTAAGTGGGGCAGTTTTCCTTTTCTGTAGGAGTTTGTTTTCGCTGTGGCCGTTGTGAATTGCGTGAAGCTTTTGCATTGTTCATTTGATGATGACGATGTTTAGATGACGCCATACCCTGATACAGACAATGATGTCATGATGATGCTTGATGAAGAATCAGTCGTATTTGCTGCGTGCAAGAAAAGATTCCTGGAAGATGCCCTGTAAATGCAAAGGGTGACCGATCACCTGTGTTGACTGAGACCAGGTAGGTCTGGATGAAAAACCAGGAACTTGCTACCTCGCTCGACTCGAGCTCGGTTTGTTTGAATTTTTATTTAATGAGCCAGCTCATACCAGCTCGGTTAATTAATGAGCTAGCTCGCGAGCTAAAACAAGCCAAGGTAATTCACATGACAACAACTGCAATCGGCGCATATATTCTTCGATCCAGCCAAATACAACTTTAAACCGTCCATATATTTCAATGCCTATGGCCCAATACGATTAAACAATAAAATCCTAGACTAATAGACCCTAGGGCTCCACCTAGTTATCCCACCAACCTACTCCACGGCATCATGTTCACGCGAGACAAGTCTAAAATTCATATATATTTTGTTTATTCTATTTTAAATATACATCTGATGTGTTTGTTGTTAACTTGCAGTTTTAATTTCTATATAATGTGTTTTTGTGCTTTGACTCACGACCAAACGAGCTAGCTCGAGCTCGCTAACGAGCCAAGCCAAGCTAGTCTTCTGACTCGTTTGTATAACAAGTCATAATGGGCCGAGCTATAACGAGCCGAGCCATAACGAGCCGAGCTAGCTCGATATCTAGCCCGGACCAAGTCAATTGGTAAACATATTGTATGGTCTTTTGGCTGGTAAAAAAAATGGTGTGCAGAAGAAGCACGATACTGGATTCTGGAACAAGTTGCGTACCAGCTTAGCTTGCATGCAAGTCTCGCTTCACCACTATACTCAACGTGTTACGTACGCGGCGATTGGGCACAGAACCCTTGCTCGACGAGTCATTGGTTCATCGAGAGCAGTTAGATACATCACAGGATAGGTACAGCATTGGCTTGTTTCCTTCAAGTAATTTCCAGTGATTTTCAGCGCGAATATCGTCCACATTTTTGAGAAGACCCGAGCTGCTTTGGTCAAGCTGCTCCTCCGCTATATAAACATGGCAACGTTTGGACGCCAAGAACTTTTTAGTTTTCCTTAATTTTAAAAAAAAACGTCTTATAATTTAGAACGGAGGAAATAGTAAAACTAGCTACTGTCCTTAAAATATAGTACTCCTTGTTACCACAATAATAAAATGACCGCAGCTAGCTCAGTGCCGAGCTGAAGAATTACTCTCCGGTACGGTGTGCGATTGGTTGGTGGTATTGCCTTCTTTGTTGGTTGCTGTTTTGGCTGATCACCGAGTCTTATGCCCTTTGAATATGTAGACTGATCACCCGTTTCCAGAAAAAAAAGACCGATCATGTCTGGTAATATATCCATGTTGTGCCCTCTTTTCCCCCTATTAGTCCGGTGCCCTCACGCAGTCACGCGTACACCACACTCGCACTCTCGTACAGCGACGGGTGCAGCGCCCTTGTCGCATACTTCTACAGTTCTACCCACAAATAATCACGAAAGCACTCGTGTAGGGGGAAGCGGAAATACAACATATTTCCTCCGTACATAATTTTATTATACACCTAAATACATGCGAGGACTAGATACATAGTAAAATAACGCATCTCAAAAAATCAAAATAACTTATAATTTGAAATGGAGAAAGTAGCGCTTATTAGGGCTCGTTTTAAAGGTTTTATCGTGTTCTCAAGTACTCTTCATGTACTGATGTTTGTATGTAGCTCCATTTGTTTCCTACATTTTCCCTACTCTTTTGAGACTTGTCTCACCGCCTGATGAGCAACATGTGGTCATGTGGCCTCCTGTCTCTTGCTCCACCTCGTGACATTACTCGACAGTAGTATTGGGCTAACGCACCACGCCTGTGCTCTCGCCATTCGGTCCCTTCCACATCCTCCATGCCTCTCACTTTCTCCTTCTATGACTATTTGAAAAATTAAAGTAACAAATAGACGACCAGAAGAGGGGTAAAGATGAGTGATTGTCAATGCTTTGGCAAGTTCTAAAGAATGAATCTTTATTGGCTCACATTCATTCCTTCAGATCGCCGGTTTGGTTCTTCAGTTTTTAAGGTAGCCATGCGAGGAGAAAGCGAGAGATATAGAGGACATGGGAGGGTCTAGATGAGGATGCAGTGTGGTGCATGAGCTCCATGCCACCTAGGAATGTTGTGTGGTTGAGAAAAAAAAAAAGAAGGTCACGTGCTACTTATTGGGCAGTGGGGAGTAAAGAGAGCCTAATTTAAGCATGACTGTATGCATGGGTACTCAGTTTCAGTGTGGTACCGTGTCACTTGTCAGGCTATAGATGTTGTCACTTCTCAAGTTACAACCAATATGTTCCACTCGATAAATAGAGTTTTACATAGTTAATTAAAGAATTTAACTTCATGATTTTTTTTTGTTTCAAGCTAAAATAATGTTGCGTTCAACAAAGCAAATGTTCTAACTTCATTAGAAAAATATTAAGTTTAATAAAAAATATTGTATCTTTTTGAGAAAATAGATCCAAGCTATAATAGAAATTGTTATGCTTAATAAAAATACTCTAACTTTATGAGAAAAAATTCTAAGTTAGATTAAGAGTGTTTTATATTAGAAATATATGTGGTTTAATATGACTTACTAGTTGAGTAACAATGAACCTAATATAAGCAAGAACTTACCTAAATATAGTTTAATGTAGGTCTAGTGTCGAAAAAAATCCTTAGCATAATTAAGCAATATTAAAGTTGCCTTAGAGACTTAAAGTATCTCGAAGAGTGAAAAGAAAAAAGAGAGCCAAATTTATGATTTTGGATGTAAAACTATATTGAGTGAAAAAATAAATTAGTAAAAAAGTTCTATTTTCGATGTCCGAAACCTACTCCCGGCGACCTCCAGCTGGCTGGCAACCGCTTGGGCCAGGCCACCCGCCAGCGGCAACGACCGACTGGCGACTGGACAGTCTATCGGTGGTCAAGGCCCAAGGGAGTGTCAACGGTAAAGTGTGCAATCCTTTTCGGACGATTGATGGGAAAATTAGGTCTGTTTTAGTGCCGAGTTGCATGGAAGTTCTATCTGCATTTAATGGACTATTACATAAGTATTTTTATGATATAACAACGTTTTTAAGAAGAGAGAAGAAAATAAGGGGCCTCTTGGCATGATTAGGTCATGGTCTTGAAATTTAGAAGTTTGCATTTGAACCCTATTCTTTCTCTTTATTCTTTTCTATGTCCTTTTCACCTCTAAATTCTAGATTGGTTGGTTTTGGGCTGGATTAGATCAGAATTTTAACACAAATGCGAACATGCTGAAGTTTTATAGGGATAAAACTCTCTTGGCATGATTAGAATCATAGAATGAAATTTAGAAGTTTGCATTGTGAACCCTATTCTTTCTCCTTATTCTTTTCTATATCCTTTTCACCTCTATAATTCTAGATTGGTTGGTCGGATACGCGCTTGTATCTTTCCGCGCGATTAGATCAATTTTCACAAGTGCGCAAAGATTTGGAGTTGAGATAAAGAGTTGATGGAGAGTTTATTTTCAATGTTGTAAAAAAATCAAGAATTCAAGATTGAGAGTGGGTTTTGGATCTGGGAGATCCTCTTAAATAGGTGTTTTTCCCCCTATGTTTAAAATCAGTTTTTTTGGCAGCGATTTTAGTGCATAGACAAGTGTATAGGTGTATTTGCACCAGGAAGAATCCGGAAGCGTGTGTTGCCATCCGAACTAGTAGAAAACTGATATTGTGGATCGACTAGACCGTGCAAGAACGCGCTAGTAGCGATCAATTGATACTAACAGACTCTTATATTACTTGTTGCCCGTCCTTTTTCCAAAACTTAGATAGAAACGTGTATTGCCACGCGACCCCACCTTCACTCCACAGCATCAACACATAGCGACGACGATGGAGCCCCATCCCATGAACCATGAGTCCGTAACCATGCATCCGTGAAGTTTCTCCGCTAGTTCTTTCCCCACTTTGCTTGTACTACAAGTGACTTACTTCCACCGCTACTAGAGAACAGACTTTAAAACGATGTTTCAATTTGGCATTAGCCTCGACATTTTTTATCGTCGGAACTAAAGGACCTTAGTCCCGGTTCGTAATACCAACCAGGACTAAAGACCCCTGCTCAACGGTCGTCCACGTGGCAGAGATCTTTAGTCCCGGCTGGTATTACCAACCAGGACTAAAGATAAACCTTAAACCTTTAGTCCCGGTTGGTAATACCAGCCGGGATTAAAGGTTTTAGTCCTGGTTTGGGTGATACCTCGGGAATAAATATTAATCTTTAGTCCCGGTTTGGCCACCTAACCGGGACTAATTATGCCGGCCTATACATCGGCTCATTTCTTTCTCCCCGAGCCCGAGCCATTCCATTCAAACTCACTGCCTCTGTTCTTCAGCTTGCTGTTGTTCTTACTCTCTCCCCCTCCATTGGTGTTGCTCTTCGATTTTAGAGGTAACAAACTTAATCCTCTTATGTTTTATCAGTAGCTTATCTCATTTTGCGATGTAGATGCATGTGT